CTTCCACATGGGGCAATTTAGTTTAGTTGACTATTACTACGGAGTGAGGAGTGGACACACAGTTTTATATATATATATATATATATATATATATATATATATAAGGTCATCCACAGACAGACTGTTTCGCTGTTTCACAGCTCATCAGTGTGTTTAGACATCCAGTTGCCTCTAGCTAGGATCGAAACCCGACTGAATTGGTGTCAGTCGAAGATTCTACCACTAAGCCGTCAGCGCACGGCAGGGATGAAGGTGAATTTTAGTGTATTTATTTTTAGAAACACACACAGTGACCAACAGTGACTCAATTCACTTTTTGCAAAGAGTCTATATATATATATATATATATATATATATATGCAATTTATTATATATATTATTTATATATGATATATGCATGGTACTTATTGAAAAGTGCTCAATATAAGTGATAGAGCTAACATATTTAGTTGTATGGATATGAGTTTGTGACCCTGGGTTAAACACTTTTGTAATCATCAAACTGATTTATTTTTTTTAAATTTGAAGCTATTTATGTTGGTTTTTATTTGATTATGTTTGGTGATGGTGGTAGTGGTGGATTGAGAATTCTCCTCTGTGTCCATGGAGAATTGTGTGGGAGAATTCTTCTAAACACCAAACAAAAACCAACATAAATAGCTTCAAATTTTAAAAAATAAATCAGTTTGTCTGATGATCGCAAACACATGAAACCTATATATATATATATATATAGGTAGGTATAAATGTGGATATAAACCAAATAACTAGATATCAGCAACCATATATACATGAATTAGTGTGCATACACAGGTAAATGAATAAATATTTACTCAGTTTAATATAAGGTATAAACAAAACTGCTCAATATGGTTAGACAGAACTAAGAAGTATATATTAATAAATACAAATATACCTACATTCGAAGTGCAACTTAAAATAGAACCACAAAACATTAAGTTGCATTTCAAATGTAGGTAAGTGTATATTTATTAATATAATTTAATTTAAAGAAAAACAGACCACTTTAAGGCTCCATTTGTAATAATTTATTTCACCAGAGAATTTTATTTTTCTCTGGATCTTCAAACTTCACTTTCAAAAGGTGATACGGAAAATGAATTTAAAATTTACACTTTTGACGGGCAGTATTAAGCTTATATAAGTTGACATAGAAGGTGGTGGGGAATGGTGTGAGAAATATGGTCAAATTTAGAGAGGGAAGAGAGAGTTTTAAAATTTATTTTTATATTTCTTTTTATTATAAAACTTAATATTGAGGAAGGAGGCGAGAAGGATCTGACATTGGCCTATTTAATCGGTCAACTCAATGGAAATGATATGGAAAAAGGAAAAAAAAAGAAAAAAGGAGGAAGTAAAGAGATAAGAGATGTTTATAGGGTTTTTGAAGGAAGAAGAGGGGTGGTATAGCTTTAGCAATTTAGATAAAAACAGATCCATACAGATTACCAAGATTTTCGTTACTTAACTATTTATATATATATATATATATATATATATATATGTGTGTGTGTGTGTGTGTGTGTGTGTGTATGTATGTGTGTGTGTTGGGATGTGTATACATTTTTAATTTTTCTTGATTTATGTAATTATCACCTATGATATGAATTTCTTTTTATTAACTCATTTAAATTAATTTAAATGCATGTGTATAAAGTTTCAATATTATTATCATTTAGTTTCATTTTTCTTTCAAATTATCAATTAATTACTTAAATGCTGTCCTTGGTGATCTCTGCTCAATATCAAACAGCTTCTTACAGCATTAATATTTTAATTATTTGTAATTAGTAACTATCAATAATTATTATTATAATTATAGTATTGCTACTAGTATGCCATTATGACTGACAGAAAAGGATGCAGACATGACAAAGATTCTTCCATTTATTTTTGTCATTTTTCTTATCAAAATAAGTGAAACAACTTTGTAATTGGCAGTTAATAGACCTTGAGTTATTTCTCTTGAAAATATTTTTATTTCTTCAATTTATACTTAATTAAGTATTATTGGTAGATTTGGTTGGAAATTACCATATTCTCCAAGTCAGAACATTTTAATGGTGTTGTGCTAAAAAAAAATTGCACTATAATGTGTTGCTTTTGCTTTTTTACAGTAAAAAAAAATAATGCATAAACATCAAGAAATCAGATTGTTATAATGTAGATTAATTATTAGCTTTTTAAATTAATTTAAACATATGCTCACCTTCGTCAGTTATTTTCAGTATTTGTTATTCTGAAATTTTTAATTATTACCACTATTTAAAATGTGTACATGTTTTTTTGCGTGCAATATTTCTCAAAATATGTTTATGATTAACCCTTGGATACATTTGCTCAATTAACAAAGTTTTTAATAATTTATTAAAGCAAAGTTTAGGCTGGTAAAACCCTCCGAATGAAATCTCTTGCTCATTCTAAATTTTGATCAAAGATCAGATGTATATTTAGACAATCATTTCTAATTCCATCATCACCACCCCTCCCACCAAAAAAAAAAAAAAAAAACAAGAAACAATGCTCAATGACTTTTTTGCATGTATCTTTTTTTCTGTTTTTAAATTATTTTATCTCAAGCATGGCAATAATGCCACTAAGATGCAAGGGGCTACTGGGAGTGAAAGAGAATGAGAAGAATTTAGAAGGAACCAGAAACCCAATCCTAAACAGGAAACAAGGGATAAACCTCTACTCATCTATTCACCCCAAGCAAGGTGATAATGCCACTAAGATGCAAAGGGCTACTGGGAGTGAAAGAGAATGAGAAGACTTTAGAAGGAACTGGGAACCCAATCCTAAACAGGAAACAAGGGATAAACCTCTACTCCTGTTTGAAAGACTCAGGAGGAGTGTGAACTGAATGATAGGCAAACTTAACTACACCTTTTGAAGGAAAAAAAAAAAAAAATAAAATGAATAGTAAATAAAATTGCAGGGTTAAGCCAGATTTTTAGAAGTATAGAATTGACGTAGACTTTAAAAGTAAGCATAAACCCCAACTCCTGTTCAGAAGACCAGGAAAGAGTGTAGACCAGGCGATAGGCCTTTGTAGAAAGTTATGACTGCATGTGTGAAAACTTGAAATATATTATTTTCTTTGCAAATTTATGAAAAGCCTCCAAAGGCCTTATGGAAATTCTCTACTGTTTAAATGAATAAATTTCAACTACAGGCTGATTTTTTTCATGTGTAAAAGAAAAAAACCTCAGATTTAATGGATCGTATATACTTGTATTATTTTGAACTATTGTTTTCATCTTGGTTGATATATATATATATATATGTTATTAGAGACACAACGTTTTGACAAAGTACTCTCTAGTCATCATCAGGTGTCTAGACGGCAATGTAGTGGAGGTAGGATTTTATTATACATGTGTTACCGTCATCAAGTGGTTGTGAATTCAATCCCTGGATCAGGTAGTGAAGTACTAATTCAGCAAAAATGATCAAGAACTAAGATCACAGGGACAAATTATCACAATAATCAAGATGTCCCATACCAGCTAATCAATTGACACCTGATGATGACCAGAGCATACTTAGTCGAAATGTCTCTATAATAACATCCATGTTAACCAAGATCAGAACAATAGTTCGAAATGACTCATCTCTGAAATGAAATGCTAAATTAATGGACATTAATAAAATAATATATCAATTTTTATAATTAATTTATTATACTTCTAAAATTTTATGTGTAGTGTTTTTATTTAATGAGCAACTATTTTTTTTTTACCAGGAATAACCTAAGATTTCATTTCCATTAATAATACATGTTATATTTATACATATTTAAGACATTTTTTAATGTTTATATGTTCTTTTTATAGATACAAATATTTAAGTAAAGAACGTATAAACATAAAAAAAATGTCTTAAATAATTGTTGGACTTTGTCCATTTCATAATATATATATATATATATATGAACATAATTGTTCATCAAGAGGGAAACTCACCCAAAAATTTAATATACTTGCTTTACAATATGAAATAATATCAATAATAATAATAATGGGTTAGCTATATCTCTAGTCACTGAGACAACAGGTGGACTATTAGAGTGCCAGAATGGATACCAAGGTAGTAGAAAAGAATTAGAGGGTGGCCAAAGACAAGATGTCACAATATTCTAACTTGATATCTTGACCCTACATGGCCCAGTATTGGAAGTGGTGAATGGCAATACAGAAGGGGTTCCTTCAACAGGAGTGAGAAGGCTCTGAATTTGGTTTGGGAATATAACAACATATAAGATTATAATTATAACATATATCTATAATTAACTATATTAATAAATTCTAACATATATATATATATATATATATATATATATATATAAAAAGAACACAATTATAATTTAATATATATGCTTTAATATGTGAAATAATTGTATAATACATCAAGAAGGAATCTCACCACAAATTTAATATACAGTGTAACCAAGAGAGTTGTCGGGACCGGAGAAGAAGTCTCTTATATCCGGTTTTCTCTTATATCCGGGTTTGGTCTAATTTATATACATTAACACAGGCTCAGATTTGGGACCAGAGAAAATCTCTCTTATATCCGGGTTTCTCTTATATCCGGATCTCTTATATCTGGGTTACACTGTACTTGTAAAAAAGGACTTAAATTCTTGAGTTGAGTTTCCAAGAAAACTAATTTAAAAGACTACTTTACCTCAGACTTTATGGCTTACAGCCATATCTTGACTTGTATCAGTTTTCACCCTGGTCGGGTTGAACCGGCTTCCTCCCGAGCAAGTACAGCATCACGGAGCATCGCTGCCCACGCTCGCTGATCCTGAGCCAGGTCACACGAAATGGCGAGCCAATCGCGATTCCATCGTCAAAGACCAACTACTTGTGGACCTGATAGTACTGCTAGGTCATCCTTGATTGTGCTAACCCACGTCCTCAGCTGCCCACCGACACGTTTTTGCCATCCAGGAAGAGGAGGGAGAAGTACAT